TCAGGTCCTCAGAGTGCACTTGGAAATGACTTTCCAGAAAGAGTAAAAGGGTTGTGTGAATTGCTCATTTTTGAGAAGCTCTGATTGAGGGTAGGAAAATCATCCAGATGTAGGAATCGTTGGGGGAAGATAACAGATGGAAATGTGGGAACGTTGGTACAGGGACCTAGTCATCCACAAAGAGAAATTATGCTGCATAAAGTTAGTGTCTGGACATGGAAAAGATGGGGAAATTTACAAGGCTTTGCCCCTAAATCATATTCTTCCCTACTCGCCTGTCTTCCTGTTCCTTCCCATCTCCTTCCTCTTTCTTCATTCCTTCCTTTTCTAAGTTATTTTTATTTTTGATGAGTTTTACATAGCTGATTAGGGCGATAAGGGTCAAGGGCCACAGGAAGGAGGGTGAGCTCACCATTTCCACATTCTCTTTTTTCCTTCCTGTATCTGGGGGAAAAGGGAAAAGATAAGGAGAGAAGCCACACCCAGCCTCCCAAAAGCCTCTGCACCCTGAATCCAGCCACCCAACACCACCCCAGGGTCTCCAATGTGGGGCATGCTCTGGAGTCCTGCTCAAGAGGTTTCAACAGTTCAACAGATCTGAATTACTGCCCATCTTGCCACTCCAGTCACGATCAAATCTCTCCAGAATCCACTTGTTGGTGTAGTCCATCTTAGAGTCTCCGTTTGCCCAGATTTTCACTGCCAATACTTGGCTGGAGCAGTTGATTGATTTGTTCTGTCCTCTGTCCTCTGTCCTCTGTCGTGGTACCAGGTGTCCTCTATAGGCCCAATGGACTGCCATATCCTCCATGTGCACCTGGATATGCTGTGTACTGTCTCGTCTAAGCCACCGAGGAGGCCCAGCTCTGACATATGCACCCCACGATCTGACCATGGAACCCGCAGTTCTCTCCATGGTGGACGTTCTGAGTCTGGCACTTCAGTTGAGGGATCCCCATAGAAACTTCATCTGAGGTGATCCCAGACCTGATTCTTGTGTCTGCTTGCCAATACAGGGTCTGGCACAGTCCATTGCTCCAATCAGCTTATGCACATGCTAGTAGTTGCAATTGCTGGAGCAGTTCTGCCTCCAGTCCTATCTTTTATACACCAGTGGGTGTTGCAGCCCAGCCTGATCCTACCCAACACACACTTGGCCTTCACGTATGCCAGTGGGAGCTGCAGCCTAGCCGGAGCAATCCACCATAACCCCCACCAGGCCCATCCTCTGCCCTGGTTCCCGTGCTTGCCAGCATGTACAGCAGTCTGGTCCAGTCTGTCCCACATCCCATTCAGCTCTCATACACGTCCTCACTCCTTCCATTTTTCCTGGTTTTCCAATGTTCTTGGTGGCTTTGAGTTTTATTTCAGTTGCCATTGTTCTTGGTGGCTTTGAGTTTTATTTCAGTTCCCAGAATGCATCAGAATCCCCAGAGGCTCACAGGAAGTGACACTGCAGGTGCCCCGGGCGAGTGTCTGCTTCAGCAGTTCTAGGCAAGGTCTGAGAGTTCACGCTGCTCCCAGGTTCCAGGTGTTGCTGATGCTGCCAGTCTTGGGAGGACACTTTGGAGGTTTCTCCTTGTCCTCATCTACAACCCTTATTCATAAATGCAAAATTCCACACCTTGAAAGTTGGATTCAGGCACACAATTGGTAAAAAATATTACAGAAAACGGCCTTCAGGTTATGAATTTCAGCTATAGATGAGACACAAGTGAAAATTTATCCCATTCCGAGGTACTTTGTTCCATAGGGGCAGATGTTATCAAACCAAAACCAGTTCTGACGTTGGGCGTTTTTGGATAAGGCCTGCAGGACTTGTAGCTTGCCGTGGATCTGCCAATACGTAGCTGGTCCGGTTTGGGGTTTCCTGTGGCAAATCTGCCTGGTTTGAATTAAGAACACTCCCAAATTTTCAGCCCTCCTGCGTGGCATAAGCTGGTCCTATGTGCATTCTTGACTGTATGTATGGTTTCTGTGTGGGTGGCCCATGAAATGGGAAGCACCTTGCGCGCTGCCTCAGTTTTACTGCTGCAAGCTGCACGGGCACGCGCTGTGATGTTTCACTGAGCTTTCCTGAAAGGCAGAGCCCCCTGTTAAAGTCACCCACTGACACTCGGCGTCCGTCTGGACCACAGCTCACCTGCTGCTGCGCCCATCGCACACACGGTCACTCGGAGCAGATTCAAGTCCCTGTAAAACAGGCACAGAGACCGTCCCAGTAGGCACACCCTCCGTTAGTCCCCTGCGGGCACAACTCCTAACACAGTCTATAGTTATAAAATATTAACGAGGAACTTGAAACCAGAACAAAGATCGCTGTAAGGAAAACTCGAAGCCACTGGGAGGAGGGCCGGGCTCTTTGTAACTCTTGTATTTCAGAAGGTCTGTGCAAAGTCGTCAACTTCAGTGCCAGAATGGTTGAGCTCCGAGCATGGGAGGCCGTCTTCAAAGAGTGCATGGAAAATGTGTGTAATGGAAAAACCTCGCATGGATTTCAAAACTGTTTTGGCACCACAATAAACTTACCTTTTAATCCCATTTTCCGTGAATGTGTTAAATGCCCTCTGAGTGTTGTAGACTGTGTGTGAACTGTGTGGTAGGTTGGAGTGTTCCGGTTGCCCAATGACAGTGATGCCAACGCTCGGAGCTTCCCTGCAGGTGCTGTACCTGTTGGCTGGAATTAGCTGGTTTTTTCTTTAAAATACACACAGACTCTAACTTGGATGGAGACAGTGAGGAGAGCTTGTGTTGACTTGCTCTTTGTTTTTTAAGATTTATTTGTTTTACTTGAAAGAGAGGAGAGAGACCATGATCTTCCATCCACTGGTTCACTCCGCAGATGGTTGGCAACGGCCAGAGCTGAGCTGATTTACAGCCAGGGTCAGGTGTTAGGAGCGCCTTCTTTTGGGTCTCCCACATGGGTGCAGGGGTCCAAGGCCCTGAACCATCCCATCCCCCCCACCCTTCTCTAGACCACAAGCAGGGAGCTGGATTGGAAGTGGAACAGCCGGGACATGAGCTGGCCCTCACGTGGGATGTTAAATGCCACTGTGCTGACCCTGCTGACTGAGGTTTTCTAAGATTGATTTGTTTGAAAGTCATAGTAGACAGATTGTTCCATTTGCCAGTTCACTACTCCTCAGATGGCCACACAGTCAGCAGCCAGGAGCTGCTTCCTGGTCTCCCATGTGGGTAGTAGGGGCCCGGGCACCAGGGCCATCTTGTACTGCTTTCCCAGGTCCGCAGGGGCGCTGGAACAAGAACTGACACCCATAGGTGCCATCTGCTGGCATTGCAGATGGAGACTTTACAACAGCCCCTCGCATCACCTCTTTCAGCCTTGTGAAAGCAATGGCGCTGTGAGATGGAGCCCTCACTGTGAGGTGGTGCCATCTCGTGCTGTTGAGATCCGTCTGATGGTGGAGCAGGCCTGCACCATCCTGGATTCTGCGTGCCCTCTCCCAAGCCTCTAGGGTTGTGAAGAGGCTGTATAGCCTGCAGTCTCGTTGGAGATGAATCTTTGGGTCTCTTCCTGTAGTTTCACTCGCCAGCATTTCCTTGGGCCTCGAGGGAAGCATGGATCCAAAGGGGAACTTTCCCCTCAGATTTATTCCGTTTCTCTTGGTTCTGGGGCGGACACAGCGTTTCCTCTCTTAGTACTGACCGCTGTGGCTGGTGCGTGAGCCCAGCTGCCCTCCGTACTTTGGCTCAAAACCCCTCCCCCTATGTCATCACTGGTGCGGATGCAATTCTGCCTCGCTTTGCAGGATTTTCAACTTTCTCTTCGAATGTTATCTGGGATTTTTAAAAATCTCTCTGGCATGAGAGCAGCAGGAAGTCGGTTGAGGAATGATCACACACCTGCGTTGGCCGCCAGCACTGCATCCACCACGTGGTGCTCGGAGGCCTCGCACTCACCCTACACATGCACACGGATATACGTGTGTTTCCTGCACACGTGCACACTCACGGTCACATGCTGTCTTCATACAACTTAGGCTTTGCAACTGTACTTCCACCTGTTGTCTGTTTCCTATTGGATTGTCACCCACAGAGCCTGTGCCCCATGCACACCCATGGATGGATGTCCAAGGATGGCCCCTCTGACATGGAATAACTAATTGTTATTTACTTACCCAGTACTTTATCAGGAACATTTCCTCATTCAGTATCTTTCATGTGTGTTTTTCAGTAAGTGAAATAGGAGACCAATTTTAACAACAATAATAGGATTTGGAAAATACACCTAAAAAGGCATTGACATAATCAGAGTTGGAAATTTCTTGACAGTGCTCAAATCCTGATATAATCTGCCTGTGATGTTAAGAACCGTGTTAAAGGTTACCAGAATTGTCCACGGCTCTTAAGACATTTTTTAAGGGTTGTCCAGCAATGACTGTGTGATAGCTTACTCCCTCGATGTCCACAGTGCCCGGGGCTCGGACGAGACAAGGATCGGCCACTGAGTCCAGGGTTCCCGTGGGGTGGTGGGGTCCAGCTGCTGCAACAGGCTCTGCATGAGTGAGAAGCTGGGGTTGGGAGCAGAGCCAGGTGCTCCGAGCCCTCCAGTGTGCAGCACTGGCACCCTAAGGAACATCTTAGCCGCTGACCCAAGTATCTGCCCCAACCGTTTGTTTTTAAGTAGCTTAGAATTCAAAACAAAAACTTAGTGTTAGGAAGTTTCTTAATCATTGCATAGAAACCTCCTGTCATAAATTCCCCGTTTATCTTAAATAGTTTGGAGGAAGTGAAAGCTGAGTTTCCTGAACAGCCAGGTTAACGTGGGTGTCCTTGCCCTGACTCTAGGCTTCAGCATCAGGGTCCCAGCCTGCCCTGCTTGAACTGAGCATCAGGTCGTGCTCTGGATACCTGCACAGAGACCCCGTGGACTCCTGGCTTGGGTTTGGGTGGCAGATTCAGGCAGAGGTCCCCAAAGCAGAGCGAGGGAGTGACCCACTGGCGCCCTGTAGTAACCGTGTGTGCTCTCTGCTCCACAGCCCAGCGACTTCTCCGTGTCTCTCAAAGCATCAGGGAAGAACAAACACTTCAAGGTGCAGCTCGTGGACAATGTGTATTGCATTGGGCAGCGGCGATTCCACACCATGGACGAGTTGGTGGAACACTACAAAAAGGCCCCCATCTTCACCAGCGAGCACGGGGAGAAACTCTACCTCGTCCGGGCCCTGCAGTGACGTCATCACCTTGTGCCCCCTGGCCGTGCCACGCCCACCAGCTCCAGGCTCCGAGCTCTGGCTGCCCCTCCCTGGCCCAGGAGCTGCGGGTCTCCGGATGCAGCCATCTTGCAGTTGTCGTCACCTGCTGGAGACCTACGCTGCCCTAGGAGCCCGGCCCCGCTCCGCTGCCTCTGTCTGGGCGATCTTTTCTGATCTAGTTGGCCGTTGGGTTCATTTCCTGTTTGCCACAATCCCTCAGCCACACTCCAGCCCAGCCCCTTGGAGCTGTTGCAGGTGGAAGAGCCAAGCAGGTTTACTGTATTCCTTTTGTTCCAGCTCACCGAAGCCCGGTGCACACAGCAAGCTGTGTCCGGAACCCCAGCCCCAGAGGTGTGCCCTCCCAGGGCCCAGGGTGGCGGTGACCCTGCGAGCTGGACAAGCAGCCTGGGGCCAACGGGCGAGGGGGGCAATGAGGAAGCTGTCCAGTGCCTTGGGGCTGTGCTTGCAATAAGAATTTCCTCGACAGGCATTCTGCAACCGAGGGAACTGGTTGGTGACTCAGAAAGACACACGTTTTGGTAATTGACCCCGAAATGTGCCATCCACCCCGTGCTCTGTCCTCATGCCCTGCAGCTTTTTGGATTTCACAATGATGTATTGAATTCTCCGAGCCCTCTCTCTGTAGCCATTTGTCGACACTAATAGGGATGATTCAGGAAGATGGATGATCTGTGGGGAAGGGGAGCGAGCCACACTCCCTACACACACATGCATGCTGTACACACGTGTGTGCGTAGATGCGTGTGTCTACGTGTATGTTGCATTTGCTTTACAGGGAAGTTTTTTCAGGGTTTACAAAAGAATATGTGATTGGTCGTCAGACACGGAATGTTTATGAAGAAATCGCATTCTCTCTTTTCTTGACATTGAAACTTCTTTATAGTTGAAATATATACAGTCTTGAGGTGGCACATTCCTACGGTTGAAGAAGGGGTCTTGAGATCCCTTCAACTTACATACCCAGTTTTTTTGGATATTGTAATAAAAAAATATTATAACATGACTTTGTGTGCATTTGAGTTTGAGCGGGCTGTGACTACTGTTGGGAGGGCGACCGCCGAAATGGGTGAATTTAATTTTCCCTGTGTGGGGGGACTTGGTTAGAGGGGATCATAAGGAATGCATTCTGTGTGTGTGTGTGTATGTGTGTACATGCATGCCTCTCCTGCCACTATGGTTTTGTATATTGAAATAATCCCTTTAATTAGTGAAATTCCAAGAGAACCTAGTTGAGCCTGCTCTCTGCTCTCCTCTTGGCGATTGATTGGCTTAAAAATGCTTTTCCAAACATGGGGCACTCGCATGCAGAGCGCCCCTCTCTAACCTGTCTCGCTCGGTCCATCTGTGTGTTGGCTAGCCATGGTCTGTCAGGCCCCGGGAGTGCAGGAACAGCACACGGATCCATGTCCTCCTCCCAGGCAGACCCCAGCTAATACAGCAGAGGCACACCTCTGCACCCGTCCGGAGAGCTGGGTCCTTCAGTCAGCCCCATTTTAGGGATGAAGAGAATGAGGCACAGTCATGCTCAAGGGCGCAGTTTTAGAGAAAGGATTTTGGAGCCATGAAGTGTGTGCGCTGAGAGCGTGCTCTCGCTCTGCCATGCCTGGTTGCTTGGGTTCATTCGAACATCGGTTGCCTGTGATGCTGGTCCCTCGGAAGTGATTGTTTGGAGGCGGAGATGAACAAAGGCAGAGGAGTCGCTGTGTCTTACAGCTGTGGACGCTTGCAGGTCTCACTGCCACGTGCTGCCTTTTGGAGCTGCAAGGACCCTGCACCACCGTGAATACCTGCACTGCCAAGAGATTGGACTGTCACGGAGCAGCTCTGCAAAGAACCAAGTGATTAAGGGACAGGAGACAGATGCACATTTTGGCCTCAGGAACTTCTTTAAGGCCTGGGATTATACAACCAGCAGTTTATGTTCGGTCTTGGCACCCGTTGCCTTGTGCAGTAGAGCAGCATTTAAAATTAAGCAACCGGTACCCTGTGGTACCAGGTGGAGAGTGGGTAAATGAGATGAGCCTCTGGTGAGAGTGAAGGGGTCAAAGCAAGACCACGAATGCTGGCAGACATCCAAAGACTGCAAGGGACAATGAAGGTGAATTGTGCATAGCTGGACAACTTGGTTCCCTTGTTTGCATTTCAGTGTGTCTTCATTTTTACATAAATGTTCCATGCAAGGACCCCGCTATCTTACAGCCACCGCTGCCAAGCCCCTATATGCCTTATGAGCAAATGCATTAAATGTTTCTAGCAAACTCTACTTTTTTCCCCTCCCCATGCATCACAACGTACATTATTACACTATTCTCTTCGTAATAACGGAAACTAAAATTTGCAAAGTTTTTCGCACTTCGGCAGCTTTGTCTTCAGTTGCTATGTGCTGACAGGTCTGCGACATACTTTTCAGTGTGAATGCCAAAATAAGAAAAAAGTTGAGAACGAAAGGGACGGAAAAGTTGGAAAGTATCGTACGTAAGCCAACGCCTGCAATGCTGGCATTCCTATGAGCTCCTGTTTGAGTCCCGCCTGCTCTGCTTCCCATCCAGTTCCCTGCTCCTGTGCCTTGGAAAGCATAGAAGATGGCTCAAATGCTTGGGTTCCTAACACCCACGTGGGAAACCTGGATGAAATTCTTTTTTTTTTTAAAGATTTATTTATTTATTGGAAAGTCAGATATACAGAGAGGAGGAGAGACAGAGAGGAAGATCTTCCGTCTGATGATTCACTCACCAAGTGAGCGCAACGGCCAATGCTATGCCGATCTGAAGCCAGGATCCAGGAACTACTTCTGGGTCTCCCACATGGGTGCAGGGTCCCAAGACTTTGGGCCGTCCTCGATTGCTTTCTCAGGCCACAGGCAGGGAGCTGGATGGGAAGTGGAGCTGCCGGGATTAGAACCAGCGCCCATATGGGATCTGGGGCGTTCAAGGCTGCTAGGCCACGCCGCCAGGCCCTGGAATTCCTTTTTTTTAAGTGTTATTTTAATATGATTTCTCACCAAGCATGGGTGTGGTTTCAGCCTTTTTCTCACACCTTCTATGCTTATTACTGACCAGTAATTTTGTGTCTAGTGCAGTATTTGCCTGCACCTTGCTAGGCTGCTAGCATATGTGCTAAAATGTAGCATTGGTTCTTCCACAGACACTGGAACACCTGTTCAAAGTCAAGTGTGAAGGTGGCTGTCCTGACAGTCCTGGAATTGACGGCCAGTCACCAACTTTTCTGGATGTGTTTGCTCAGGAATGGGGTGGGACTGCTGTGCGCCTCTGGGGTTACCGCACTGGGGGAAGGCTTTGCTGGGGTGGCCCAGGTGAGTGTGGTCAGTATAATAAAGTACTGCAATAGTGAGTGCCAGGGAGGTCTGCAGAAAATCTGTGCATGTTTCCTCACCTGGACCTCACAGTGCCTGCTTAGGCATCGCCTTCCGCAGAGGACTCCCACAAGGGCTAGCTCCATCAGACCCTGGTACCCTCACCTGGTAGCTTCCAAAGCGGTGCAGCCCTACCTTAAAGAACTTCAACTCCTCACATTGCCAGAAGGGAGATTGCTCTCGCAGGATCCTGTGGCCCCTCTTTGCTGAGAAGCCTAAAACCAAAACCTGTGGTCCCCTAAGAAAGGGACCGCTTTTAAGATAGATGAAGTCTTTGTTCTTTGGTGAGGTGGGTCACATCCCCAAGTTAGACAACAGGATGATGTTGAGTATGGGCAAGAGCCCATCCAACATCCAGGAGTCTTGTGCACCTGCTAGGTAGGTGGAATTCACACTCTGTGGAGAAGCTGGCCACTGGCATTGTGAGTCCACATCACTCACATGGGCTAGTGGCAGCCACTAGAGTATCTGATTAGACATGGGAAGTTCCAATCCCAAGTGGGTCAGGAAGCTACCATCAGTGCTTGGTTGAGCTTACATTCACCCAGTTATTGGGGATAAATGGAAAACGCATCTCCCATCTGCTGGTTCATTCCACAAATGGTCACCAGGGCTGCATGTGTCTGAAACCAGGAAGTAGATTCTCAGTTTAGATGGGTAGTAAAATCCCAAACACGTGATCATTCCAGGGTGTATATTTGCAAGAAACTAGTCAATCTGGCCCTGGGACTTGAACCCAAGCACTGTCTTCATTGTTGTCTCAACCAGAGCCAAATGCCCACCCCTCGTTTTTATTTTATACCAGCATCCACCATTGGAGTCTTGGTTCAAATCCTGGCTGCTCCACTTCCCATCCATCCTCCTGGTAATGTACCTACTTGGGAAAGGAACAGATGAGGGCCCAGCTCTCTGTGGTCCCTGCCATTTGGGGCTGCGATGGAGTTCCTGGCTCCTGGTTTTGTCCATTCCCAGTATATAATTGTTTTGTTTTTAATTTTCAACCACCAGAAGTGGAGTCTGTTTTCTCATTGCATTCTGCTAGACTAACCAGTAATGTTTCTAACTACACAGCTATCGTATAATTTCTTTCCTCAGCATTCTATCCTTCCTGAAAAACTGCTTTATTCGCATCACTTTACTGGCCTCTTTGTTGACTCTGGGCTCCCATCTCCTCGAAATAGATAAAACCCAAAGTCTGGACAGTCAACACAGCCTCAGGCTCTCAAAGCGACCCAGATCCTCTCACATGTCCATGCCAGTGTCTTAAGTCTGTACTGGAGATGGTGTCGCTGTAACTCCACCAACAGGCTCGGCACAGGCGTGGACACATCCCTGCCTTGTTTAGCCCCTCCTCCTGAGATGCCAGGATGTGCAGAGCCACCTCTGATGTGTTGGCCCCACCTCCAGCTCCTCACATCTGCTGTGCTCCTGGGTGAGCGACAGCCATCCACGGACACTCCTGCTCTTCAGTACCTGAGTCCTTCTCCCGTCTGACTGACCAATGATGTGGAATCGCCATTACTTTTGTTCAAGCAAGACAATCAGCAATTTCACAGTTCAAAGGAAAAAATAAACTTATTTCTAAGTTCCCAGTCCCGTGCTCTGGGTACATAGTGGATTTTTCACAGATAGTATTCATTCACCACAGAATAAGAAAAACCTGTCACAGTCATGCCTCTCCCACT